TAAAACTGGAGCAGACAAAATCTGGTGCAGTTGCCTATGGCAACCAATCAGCTTCTTTCTTCAGTATGTTCAGTTAAGCTTTGAAAATGAAAAGTGGATGCTGATTGGTTGCCATCCACAGCTGCTCCAGATTTTGATAAATTCCCCGCTCACTGCTGCCCTCTCTCCTTGTGCAGGATGACTGATCTTGTCTCCGCCCCCTGCTGTATTAAAGACCGCTCACTGTTGTTCTCTCTCCTTGTGCAGGGTGACTGGTCTGGTCTCCGCCCCTTCCCGTAATAAAGACCGCTCACTGCTGCTCTCTCTCCTTGTGCAGGTTGACTGGTCCGGTCTCCAACCCTCCTGTAGTGGGTGGGGCCTGCTGGGTCCCTCCCACAGCTCTATGCACTGCTGCATTTACATGATAATAACTTGGGTTTCAAAGGCAGTCAGTGCACACAGAGTGGATATATGTCCTCTGGGGCTATTGAAGAATATACGTAAAAGAAATTTTTGGTGGCAGTAATTTCGCTTTAATGGAACGCGTGCGAATCTGCACTTAACCCTTTCTTGCCTTTCGAGTTTTGGCTGGGGAGCAGACCGGTTTTATAACTCTGTTTATCCCATGGCTTCATGCCAACTCCCATGTCTGTAGGAGAGGACGATCTCACTGCACATGTGTGAATGCCGGGAAACGCTGCATGTAAATATTTACCCGTCCGCCACACAGACAAATATAACCTCCATTGCACTGCTCCGTGTAAATATAGTAACGACGTGGAGAGCCCAGTTCCTGCTTCTGACAGCAAAAAAAAACATTTGCATGTCAAATCGTTCCTGGAATCTGAGGGTGAAGACCGACTTAAGCGCGGCTGCAGCATTTCCTGGCCGGGCAGATCAGCGTTTCGTTCCATTGTTTGCTAGGTAACTGCTTGTCCTACTTATGCCGCACACCCCTGGCAGCCGCCCTGACAGCAATAAAAATGCCAGGAGTGAAATCTACGTTGTACGTAATGTTAAATATGTCATAAAGACGCGGGTGCCAGAAGGCCGGCAACCATAAGAACATGCAAATTAACCCATTCAAATCCATTGAAAAAAACAGACTCATCACCTGCATGTAACAGGGCCGTACACCCCTGTCCGGGCGGGCACAGCACAACTAGATATCGGTTGTACTCATGGACTGGCACTCATGTTTCTTAGCCCACCCATGTGATAGCAATAAAGTTAAGAGTAAAAAAAAATGTTTTTTAAAAAGAAGAAATTAAAGCACAAAAACCCCGCCCTTTTTTTTTGAAGTTCCCCACCCCCCACAAACATGCGTCAGGTGCGCCTACGTACGAGAACGACGAACGCGCCTATTTTGCCGCACGTTACATATCACCGGGAACGTCGGAGTGCCAGCAATAATTTTAGGGCCATCAATCACTGATAACACTCAACTGGTGAGCAAAATAAGCGTTTAGAGTGTCGCCTATGGCCAAGTGTCATTGTGGTCGTTTTCTGCGATTTTGCGGGTGCGCGCAATTTTAAGGCTTGACATGTTTGGTGTCTATTTACCCGACGTGACCCCGGACTTTTATATTTTACCAAAAAATATGGGTAAGAATAAATGTTTTTTAACATAACGTAGGGAGAACTTGTTTTTTTTTCATAATTCTTGTTACTTTTTTCATTATGCAGTAACATAGGGTGCTTGTTAGCTCTTGAAAGAAACATAAGAATTTTTTTAGGACCCCCGCCCCACATACACAAGCAAACACGCGTCGGTGCGCCTACGTGCAAAAAACACAATTGCGCTACACGTTACATATCGCTGCGAACGTCGGAGCGAGAGCAATTATTCTAGCACTGTCATTGACTGTTAGCACTAAACTGATGAGCGGTTAC